ATTATTAGCAATATTCTTCCGAAGTCTGATTTCTTTTTAAAAAATGCGTTTCTAAAGTGCATAAACTTTTCGGATTGACTGTATAGCCAATACATCCTTAAAAGTAAGTTTACGATTATAAATGATAAACATGCTTGGATCTTCTTAATTACGGTTTTTTAATTTGTTAGAAAGCTAGGGCGTTAATAATACCTCGAAACTGAGTTGCTTCGTTGTACTAGCGCTCGGCTGCTCGTCATTTCCGGTGGCCGGTGTAGGGCTCGTGGAAGCGTCGACCGCGACCTGCGGTGCCTCCGTTTCTAACAAAATTGGCTGGGATTCCGGTGGTGAACCGCCACGAGGTGCCGAGACACCGGCAAGGAGTTCTTCCGAATCGCTACCTTCCGTATTACCAACCACTGTAACCAATTTATGTTAACTCTTTAGTAATAGCGAATGATACCTCTTCATATTACGTTTAACGCTGCGTACAATTTTTTCTACCTTTAATTTGTGCTAATTAAAGAAATTCGTTACACTTTTCCACAAATACGTGGAGTATACGTTTTGTATATAAAGATGAAAAAATTAGACCGTGAAAATATTTACTGAGACAACAAAATGGGAGGGTAAAGGGATTGTACGAAAGTGAAGCGCAGTGAATATAAGGCCAGACCGTGGCTACTCGTTTTACGGTGGCTCGTTATATTTTGCATCATAGTCTTGTTTCACGTGCATGAAGTTCTCATCAAAGAGAATGAAACTGTTATCTACGGTTGAGCTACGGCATCGCTCGTAAACAAAAGTCAGAATCTCAAAGGTATCAAAGTAATAGCCGCCACGGTAAAGCCAGTATTTATAGTCAGTTTCTGAGTGCCACTCGTTACGGAGTGTAGGAAGTATTTTCGGACTATTTTGAAGGGGATGTAACTTCGAACTACCAGAAATAAGCACAACAGATCACACAAACCGATTTTCACAATCATGTTTCTGCGTATTAACTTTTAGCTACATATTGTTCTGAAAATCGTACAGAATAATATTCTATTCCTTCCCCAAAATAAATATTCTGATACTGATTCCAATAACTGGAGATTATTTTGATTGGCATTAGGAAAAATTACTCTTTTTTACAATATAGAAATGAAATTAAAAAATCGAGCAACGAAAAGAAAAAATTTTAATGGACGGAAACGCGTGTAGGAATTATATTGATGGTCGCGGGGTGCGTTTAAACGCATAAATAACAGATCAAAGGGTTGCTGTTTCGTAATTACAGAGAGGCCGGATCCCGTGTATAAAAGCGCGATTATCTTTAATGCATTCGCTCTCTATTGCTCAGTCGAAATTATTTGCGAGCGGGCGAGCAAGCGGACGAATTAACGAAAGTTCTGTTTATACACCAAAGAGAACGGGGATGCATCCATATCCAGCATTTATTTCAGAAGCGTTTTACACGAACCGCCGAAGGAAGTATAATGTATCTTTAATGTGTCCGCATTACGCGGCCGTTTACCGTTATGTATGTACCTAGACAGACGGCCGGCGTAAAAGCATTCTGCAAAATGAAACGTTCAAAAGATGCCTTTACGCAACCATCGTGCATAAACGAACGTCTATGAAACACGTCGTAACGCGCGAGGCGCGTTTGAAAAAGGGAAAATCGAAAGATCGGGTTTTTAACGGTAGCAGGAAGTGCATCAGAAAACAGTTAGGAGACTGTGCTTCCTGGTTGCTCGGGCAGAATGCATTAAACAGGCTCGAGCAATTATGCATTTACGAGGCTAGCTTGGTATGCAAAACAAAATGCAATTTAATATACAGATGTAACGATCGAACGACAAAACGTTGCTCGTTACGTGAATAACAAAAAGGTGTTGATTCGTGAAACAATTGTCGACGGTAAAGTAACTGATAAGATATAAACCGCAAAATCACAGTAAAACACCGATAGCGAGCAATACATTTCAAGCGAGTCTCTTTCCCATCCGCAAGAGTTAAAGGAATCAAGATTTTATCTAGCAGATCTTGCCACACGCGGTTCCAAGCTGTTGAAAGGATTTTTTGTATTTTGGATGTCTGATGTATCGAAAGCTGGGAAAACGAGTTTGATAAAAATCTGTTTTTATTTTATTTTCTTATTATCCACATTATTCTAAGCAATGATCTGTGAATTTCTATTGCCCAAATTTAAAAACTAAAAGATTATATTACTTTGTATTACGTCGAACATACAAATAAATACAAGCATGTATACCTAAACGGGAGCGATTCTGCCGCAGCTTGCAATCGGCCAAAATGCTAAGAGAATGATAAAGAATAATCAGGGTTTCGATAAAAAGGGTTTCGCGGCATATACTTATTCGAGTTCCGAGTAACTCCGGAATGTTTCGAATGCTTTGGCCACCGGTTACACGTTTCCCTTCTACGACCGCTGTTGGTGTCTTCGGCTCCGGCGGTGCGGCGTGGCGGAGGCTCCGCTTTTATCTTAATTCGCGCGATACGTCATTAAGCCGGTGCAGCGTGATTCCAGTAAAATATATACTTAAAAACGTCGGCACATCAAAGGGAGCCGCTGGGCAACGATAATTAGCGATACGAAACGCGTAATAAACGAAGCCGGCCGCTAATTTCAATTACTCAAGACCAGCGTAGAAAAAAAGGGAACAACGAGAGCAGGAATGCGCGTGCACACGCGCGTAGAAAGAGGAACGAGAAAGGAGGGAATGAAGAAGGAGTAGGAAGAAAAGCAAAGACCGAACGTACGACAAAGAACGAAAATAGAGAAACAAGAAAAAAATGAAAGAAAAAGGGAAGAAAAAGCCGGATAATCGTATCTGCATTAAGAAACGGACGCATATACGTGTATAATGATACCTGCCGTGTGGTAATTACGCCCGTAACTCTTTCGTGGGGGCCAGCGTTAAAGACCCAAGACACTGAGCGCACCGGGGGAGAAAAAAGGGAGACAAAGAGCTAGAGGAAGCGGGATAGACGACGCGATAGAGGACAAGGGAGAAAACGATGGAAAGGCGAGAACGAGACGAAGACGAGGGGAAACAAAGTAAAGCCGGTAGAGAGAGAGACAGAGAGATTCAGAAGGGAGAACAAACTTTGTTCTGGTATCGAAGAAATAAAGAATAGCCGCGAAACGCATTTTATCTAACCACCGGACTAATATATGTAACGAACTTGCAAGGTCTCGATAACTAAGCTCAACCCCTTGACGCGCGACCCTCTTTTCTCTACGCGAGCCGCGTACTACATAGTACTCGCGTCTGTGTGCAACTACACCGTATATCAACGAGCAGCGCACGCGTGTGTTTATGCCGTGTGTACCGTACCGCTTTTGCGCCCTCCTGAATGAAAAGCGACGGGGGAGCGGGAACACACAAACGGCTTCTGCTTTCTTCTTTGTAAATCACCCCTTACTGTTTGCTCGGCTCGTAACTTTTATCATTTGCCGACGCAACAGCTTTCCATCATCCCGCTCTTACCGCTCGGTTCTCGACTCGTTTAAAAATTTGCCCCGCGACGCACGAGGAAGCAACCATAAAACGAAGCCGTGAGCTTTTAAGCTTTACAGTTATACATATCCTCTGCTTCACTTGTTTCGCTTTTTCGTCGTTTAACACATCGGCGATAGACTACGATATACATATTGCTGTTACATGAAACAGATTGTAACAGAGATTTACACTATCATCGTTATGTAATGAATTTATTTTCACGATCATCCAGTGAATCTCCTCCGGTCTATTTTCAGATGTTCGGAACTCCATGTGCGTCTGTCAAGCAAACTGAATCCGATGAGATTAAAGGCAGGGGCTTTACGTTCGAGTAATTTTAATAGCAAAACTCTTAACTGAATGACTTCCGATACTTTACAGTCACATCACGCGGCATAAAAATTGCCAACGATGCACGGTTATAGATCAATGGGTAAGAAAAATGCAAGCATGACGTAACACCACGTGGGATCCACTTCTGTCATACTGCAGCAGCAGCAGCAGCATCGAGGAACGCACGCCTTGTACAAAATATAACACGCCTGTAGTCAGACCGACTATCCAGAACAGATGAATCAGTACTGATACGTGCATACCTCGGTTTGTTGTGATTTAATCGAGGACAACATCGATTCCTCTGGCGCGTGCGAATGACAAAGGAAGAAAAAGACATAGGAAACTGAGGGAAACCGGGTGAAGAGTGTGCGAGATAAAGATAGACGGGACAGTGCGGACAGAGAGAAATGGAGAGAGAGGAAGACATTATAGAAGCGCTTACCAGAAAAGGGTCTATAGCCAGCGAGGAACCTTGCCCGCCACCACTTTACGAATCCGGTAGCCATGAGACCCTCATGCATCCACAAACGCTGCGCACACTTTCCTTCCAGGCTTCTTGCTCCGCCAGTTTGTCTCTGTTTTAGTTTACAAACTCGTCCACTGTTCTTCCCGTTCCTCTCGTACGTCACGACGAAGCTGTACAACGTACGTCACACTCCGAAGAAATTCCTTCGGATAGAAAGAGCACTGTACTTTTCACCTGACGATCATTTGTACCGTGCCCGATTTCAACCGAACGCACGGGTTGGCACTGTATTTGAGCACTGCTAGAAACAGAAAATGCGAAACAAACACACACCCGCGAACCTCATGCTCTCCTGGTACGAAGATTCTTCGCCCGACGATGTAGATCAGCACGCACCGAACGAACAACACGTGTTTTTCAAAGTTGTGCAACGCGTTTTGAAGTCTGAAAGGCGACCCAGCTCAATCTTGTTGCTTCTATCTCTCCTTTATCGTGCTTTCGAAACGCATGGGCGAAAGCGTTTGCGCTCGCTTGCTATCGTTCCTACTGTCAGCGAATTTTTCATTCACACATGCACTAGCCGCGAGAGGAACGGCACTCGGTATCGCAAATTGAATCCAGGTAAAAGCGACGGAAGTGAAAAGAAACACGACGAGATCGTTCGGTGACACGACATCGCTCGACTCGTGGCCCGACTACGACTACGGACGATCGTTCTTGCCTAAACCACGTTCCCCGTAATTCCCTTTCCCCCTCCATAGGGCTGCGTCAACAGTGCCGAGCCGTGGATACACGGGCCCTGAAGGTAAGAGGCGCGGCTCGAAACCTCCGATTCACGCTCTTTTCCGTCCGTCTCTCTTTCGCCTCCTCCCAGTTGCCGCTTTCGGTCAGCTCCTCTCTTTTTATCCCCTCTCTTCCATTTTAATCCGTCTCCGTTTCATGTACTTCTTCTTGCAGTTATCGTCTCTCTTCAAATCCGTTCCCTTCTTCTTCAGCGTAATTTCATCTTCGTCTACCTTCCTTTCTATCCGTTCCCCGTGTATACTTCCTTCTCTATGTTTCCTATTTCTATTCTCTATATTCTCTCCGTCCTTTTCATCTATAACTCAGCCCATCTCTCTCTCTCTCCCTTCTACCTTTTACCCTTGTACTCATTTCCTCGTACGAAATCGCGTGCGTACTTTCCTTTTCTACCCATTTCCTCTCTTTCCTTTTTGTCCAGCGAAGGTCTATGAGAGCGGCGAAGGAAGAAGGATAGCTTCGCACGGGTCTGGTCTGGGGAGGTTCTGAAGGAAGCCGATGATGGTTCAACGTGGTCTACGACGACACTAAATGTCGACGCCGCGACGGCCGACGGCATGCGTAAAAAGGGAATCGGCGGGAACCCTCCTAAGGGATTTTGATTATCGCGGACGCGCAAAACAAACCCGTCGCCGGATTTTTGCAGCCGGCGATTGCCGCGCGCGCGGACGTTGCCCCGATTCGCCTTCAGAGAAAGTCGCCTCATTTTTAAAGGATTCGGAAAAACAAGACTCCCCCTTTGAAAGGACCCGACGCCGAATCGTCCCTGCGGGCGAAATCGTAGCACCGCATCGTCGAAATCATCGCAGGAATCCCCGTAATTCGTCGGAATGACGCACGACCGACTACTGTACCTTCCGTTGCGGCAAACCCAAATCAGTGGATAAATATTTAGGTCCATTCCTGTCTTCTTATTTGGTTCGCGTCACGACCTTCCGAAGATAATGGAAATTAGTTGTTATCTTGTTACGCATACCAAATTTACTGTTACTTGCATTAGTAATCCGGCGAAAACATTTATCGAGCGTCATTCGTCAGACACACCGCAATACATTTTGTACAGATGAAATGGATGAATCTAATCAAGTGGTTATAATGTGCATCCCTTTTACAGTTTTTCGTAACTTCAAACGTCTCGATATAAAGTACTTCAATCATTGCGAAAACAATCAGAAACGATGCACGTTCCTGGAGTTGAATACCATTTTGAAACACGCAACATATATGTACATATGTATACTTATTCGCGTGCGCGTTTCCTAAACATTTTGTTATTTGTTTCTCGGTTACCCAAGGTTGGAGCACGCAGATGTGAAAGCACAACGAGATAAATGAGAAATACTCTTTTTGGAGACTGTACCCGCACGCTATTATCTCCTAGCGGTGTTTCAGAAGAAACATAGGCGTCGACTTTGATAGCATAATGTAATGAATGAACTTTAACGAAAAACAGTTCGTCATATACCCACACGGCCATCATATAATGGTAACGCATTGCACTTCTAATTAATTCAAGTTGTATCAATTTATTTAATTAATTTATTAAATAATATTTTAACGGTTCATTAACTCTTCACCATTAAACGATTATCGTATTAATATTGAGTCTTTTTATAAAAAAAAATCAGTCAATTGCAGGAAAAAGACATAAATTGTTCCAGCCCATGATTGTATGTGATAGGCACTTTAGGAGATGAGACAAATGCAGCAAAAGGAAAATACATAGAAAAGAAAATAAAGGTGTCGTGATCCAGCGTCCCCGAGTATCTACGCTGTTGGTTCGGCAAGTACCCCCTTGCTCTCCCTGTACGGAAAGTCTCTACCCACCATGCCACGCTATGCCGTGGTGTGCTGCGCTGTGCTACGGTTCGCCGTGCCATCCTCAAC